ATAATATTAATCCCCTTTTCTAGAGTCAATTTTCAATTTCATAACAAGAGATACTCCTAGAAAATACATGTTAACCCACACTAATTGGTAACAACAACTGAAGGTGAATTTTTTTTAGGTTTAATGTCTCAATAGGTCCCTATTTTTGTTCAGAATTTGAAATGGTCCCTTATTTTTTGGCGTCTCAATTGGGTCCTTATTTTGTTATATTTCATGCAAATAAATCCTTTCCGTCCCAATTCCTCAAACGGGGACGCGTTAATATGTGTGACGTGGGCCTTACAATAACGTGTCAATACTTGCCCTCCTCAGGCAACGTCACATTCATTAACGCGTTTGATGAAAAATTGACGGAAAGGAATATTATTTGATCAAATTACAAAAAATAAGGACCCAATTGAGACGCCAAAAAATAAAGGTGACCTATTTCAAATTCTGAACAAAAATAGGGACCTATTGAGACATTAAAACCTTTATTTTTATGGTCTATGGGTGTGATAGTAGAAAATGATACATACAGGTCTTAATAGTTGTGTATGTACAAAGATGAGGTAACTACATTGAGATGTGTCAAATATGTGAGTAACCTATTAAGGTGTTGATGGAAGTAGGTGTTGATGAACGAATCAGATGACCCTGCTAAGGTGTTGTGGTCACATTTTAATAATACCTAGTTTAAAATGATGGGGTGTTTGTCATTTTCATTAAAGGTAGATTACAATAGAGAATTTGACAAAATCTATAAATATCTTGTAAGAGCCTGCCGTTTCCCTAGTATAGTAGACTCAGCAAATTGATGAAAATCAACCAATTATGAGCATCCTTTTTCATTGCTTGACTTGATAACAAAAAATAATCTAAATAATTCGAGTTTTTGGCTGTATCTTCTTACACCTCTTAAGTGGCCAATACGCATAATGCTACTCTTCCCTTGTTACCATATCTGACATATAGGGTTGTCAAAATATACATATAATGAAGCATATGTATCTGTCCAAATATCCATCAGAGGGGGGGAAACAGCTTTAGTCT